GCATTAGAAGGGGGAATACAGATCTCCAAAATGGTCCCTTCCTCAGAGATTGACCAGAACATAAGGCTTCAAAATCACATTATGCATTGTAATTTAGTAGCTCTTTGTTTAATCTCTTTAGAGCTTGGTTTCCAGCCCTATTAGGGTTGAACTGCCCTCCATAACATGCCATTATTCTATGGTTATAACAGAAACATTAGCTCAGCTCCAGAATCCGTTTTTCCAGCAAATGTTTTTTTCCTCTTATATTTAAATCCAAAAATTGTTGATCCTTCTTCTTCAATAAGGTGCTTAAAGCTACAGTGTGATCCATATTGCCAGGTCCTCCCTCCTGAGGTGCATTGTTCTGTGAAGGGACTGTGTAAGGCAGTAATAATGACACTAACTTTTTCTCCTGGTTTAAATTGTTGATCAGTGGGCACTGTGGTTATGACTGTAACTTCCCCTATATAATCTCCACCAATGACTCCTGTATGAACTACGATTTCTTAGGTAAACTACTGTGAGCCAATGAAAGCACCCACTGTCCCAGGCCGTCTACGTCCCCACCTCCCGTGTGTAATTCAACAGGATATTGAAGAGGTAAAATGGCAACATCTTTAGGACTGGGGATATCAATAGCAGCACTTCCTTGAGTAGCAGCTTGTAAAGAAAGAATAGATTGAGTACAATCTGGACCTGGCACAAACGTTATTGTTTCTGGATTTAAACCCCCTAATTTTGTGGGTCCTGTGGGTTGGGTGGGGAGAGGTCCAATTCCCTGCTGTTGACTGATATGGTTGCTAGGCAATGTATTGCTGTCCTTATCATATTTAGATCAGCATTCCTTAGCCCAGTGTTTTCCCTTTTCGTACTTAGAGAATACGCCAAGAGCTCCTTGATTCTGAGCACTTATTTGTTGTAAGGAACTTACATTTGGCCAGGTTGGCTGCAACTGAAACATTTTGCTGACATCTGTCTTTGAACAACGTGTTTCTATAGCAGCTGATTTTGTTCTGTTTGTAGATCCCCACATTCCTATATAACTTCAGAAAACCCATAACATTTCCTGTCTCTCTCTGAGGTCTGATTATTCCTTGGCAATCTTTATTGGCATTATCAAAATCCAGCTGTTTTAATAACTTGAAAATTTTTTCCCATTTTAGTTGTTTCTCAATAGCATCTTTGAATCCCCCTATGAAATCAGCACAAGGCTCAGAAGGACCGTGCATAATTTTTATATAACTAGACCTGAAGTAAGAGCCCCTATCAGTTTTCCTCCAAGCAGCCATACCTATGTCCCTAACGTGGGAGATATGCAGGTATATGTGGACGAATGTTAATTCAGAACACGGTTGTTTTGGCAAGAGATCACATCCAAAGACCTTCGAGGTCTGTGTGATCCAGCTGGAATACTTTAATTCCAGGAGTCAGAGCCAAGCAGATCTTTGAGTTCATCACCAGCCTGGTATAGAGAAAGTTTCAGGGAAAGAAAAGCTTAGGTCGAGGCTTGGTGTACATGCCTTTAGTCTCAAACAATGAAAGTGAAATTAGTTTGTAGAAGAATGCACTCATGTTTGAAAGTGATGTCTAACTGAGCAGCAGAAAAGGTGATGAATCAGAGAAAGGTTTGACAGAATAGCATACACCTAACTCTCACGAGAAGAGAGAGGAAAGGGAAAGAACTTAAGGGGCAATGCAGAGGAGAAGAGACAGTGTTTACCAGGACAGGAATAGAGAAACAGGTTGCAGAGAGAGAACTCGAGGGAATACCGAGTGAACCAGAGAATGAGCCAGAAGATTAGAGCAGATTGCTTGAGTTAGTTTGACGCCAAAAAGAGCAATTCAGGGAGGGAGGGAGGGAGAGAGAGAGAGAGAGAGAGAGAGAGAGAGAGAGAGAGAGGAGAGAGGAGAGAGAGAAGCCAGACTGAATAAGTCAGCTGGGAGAGGAGTTTGAGGCAAAACAACTGAGTTGAACCAGCTAGCCCAGAGCTCAGGGTAAGCTTGTTAAGCAGTAAGTCTCAGAGCTTGCAAACATCGTGGGCCTAGGTTAGATTGTGCAGAGGCTAGAAGCTTTCAGGACTAGGCCTAAGTTAGCAAATGGAGCCAGTAAGCTTCTGAGACAACAACTGAAGCAGGAAAGTAAAGGTTACTTTTACAGGTATATTATGCAGTGATGGTCTCTTGATAGGCATAAACCAGTCCCTATGAGCATCTCCTAGGAGGCATTCCCAGGATCATCCCTCAGTCCTAGGCACTGAACTTTTGCTTGGCCTTCACCTGCAAGCCAAGCTCGCCACTGAAGACATTGGGAAGGGCTAAGAACCATTTCAGCCCTTACATAAAAGTCGTGCGGCAACCACTGTGTATCACTGCTCCAGCCAAAAAGACACTCGTGGAGCACATCATGGAGCAGCAGGTCCGCAGGAAGCCTTTTCAAGATCTTTCATTATCTCCATGTCTAATCTCTGACAAACATTTTGGTTTTGCTGAAATTTCCCTGGAAATACCAAGGGCAGCTCACAAGGCTGGAGAGAAACTGGTCATGAATCCCCTCTCCCTGCCATAACCTAGCTTGCCTAGGCTATAAACTTGGCATTTTCCTAGGTTCTCCTAAGTTCTCTTCAGGAAGTGGAAGGAACTCAAGGTTAGACTGATTATCAGATTCCTCATTCCACGCTTCAGGGCGAGGCAATGGATGCTCTTTAAAGGAATGGCCACTAAGCGGCCAGCACACATGTTGGGGCTGCTGTTTCCATTTTCTAATTTCCATGAATGGGTGGGGAGAGTCTCCTTCCACCTCACCCCCATTTACTATTTTAAGGTTTGAACATCAAGTTTAGATTCATTCAAGGAACTAGTCATCTCTTCCACTGATTAATGTCCTTCTTATCTTCCTCAAGTATTTCAACAAGTCTGAAATAATGCCCAAGGGACACAAAATTGAACGGGGACCTTTCCCTTTTGTTTCTTAGGCCTTTTCAGTCTTCTCTTGGACTCTGCTCTATACGTGTGCACCTAAAGCTCCTTCTTCTGGAAACATAATCACAAACAGCCTGCAAGCGACCAGGCAGTTGTGGCTTTGAGACTTGTGCTCCCGCTTTCTTTAAATAACGATGCAAAAATGTGATGTGAGGCAAAGCCTTCCAGGGCTTCTGCCCCATCGTTCTCACTCACCTCCTCCTGTGAGGGTCCCAACTCCAGGTCCCTGTTCAGGTGCCACTTGTTTACCGCTCTCCAGGTAGCGGGCCCCAGGAGAACGGAGCTGATAAATAAGGCGCACTCAAGTCTCACGCAATAGCCAACTTTATTCAGAGCATCAGGCAATTCATACTCGGAGCGGCAAGAAGAGGCCCACAGGAGTAAAGTTCTCGTGAGCTCAAGCTGTATACAATCACAAGGACAAGCTGCCGGTGGCAAAAACATGGTTTTCCCAGAGAGGCGTAGAAAGGATAGTTTAACTAGTTAACTGAGTAACAGCAGCAAGCAATGCTGAGTGATGGGAAGTAAACTCACTCCTACCTGCTGCACCTGGGAGGAACAGGAACACACATCCCAAGAACAGTTCCGTGCTTGGAAGAAGCTGAGGTCACAAGACTCCTGTTTTCTTGGAGTGTTCTCATAAGCGCTCAGAATTCTCTTCACATGGCTTCGTTCAGGGAAAATAAACCTTTTCCTCCTCCAGTTGTTTCTGATTGTGGGTTGCGTTTTGTTTTGTTTTGTTTTGTTTTTTTCTTCACATGTATAGGAAGACTAGGACAAAAATTGGTATTGGGTTTATAGGATATTGCTCTTAGGGGGTCTAACCACGTTTGGGGGAGGACTGTTGAAGGACATCAGAACTTTGGGATGAAGAAGCCAATAGTGCTCAAAGGTTAATGGGCTGCCACGGGGATTTGGAAGCTAAGCCTGAGAACTCGTGTGGAAAATGGAGACCTGGCTTCTGGAGTTTTAGAGTTTGAGAGTCCGTCAAAGACTCTGCCAGAGTCATCCGTGTGACATTTGCAAGTAGGAATCTATGGCTTCAGTAAGTTGCTACTGAAGAACTGTGATTAATAAAGGACCAGAACCATTAAATTCAAAACTTTGCTTTGCAGGGACAATAGATGTTAGTTCGCTGGAGCTAAGAAATTGGTGCTGGTTAAGAAGAGGCAAACATCATTGAGGATCACAAATCTTAGCTCGTTTCCCCAGCAGCGGTACAGAGAAGCTGTGGTCCAATGTGGCCAAGGCTGAGCCTTATTCTGGCAACCAAACTTGGTAATCTGCAAGAATCTCCCGTGTGGTACCGGTTTTGAAGGCACGAAAGGGTCATCGCTGCTTCCAGTATGGGTTAGTCCTGCAAGCCTGACTGGGGTGACGAGGGAATGAAAGACAGACACACAGACACTCAAAAGGCTGGGATCCGGGGGGGGGGGTGTGTGTGGAGTGTCTGCCCTGGTAGAGCAGAACCAGCAACCTAGCACGCCATATTTATCATGCATAGCTCAGGAAGAGGCTCTCGGCCTGCTGATCACATACAGCGAGTTTCAGTGCGATGTCTCTGTGGGGCATCAGTCTCAGGCTGCAGTCGCCTGAGAGGAATAAGCTGCCGTTGCTGGTTTTCTTTGCACATAATCGTTCACAAGTACTTGTATTTGGGTTAGAGGAAGGCTTTGCCAATGCCTTTGAGGCTCACTAGTAGACCGGCTTCGCCAGTTCCCACATTTCTGAGGCAGTGATCCTTGTCGATAATACACACTCACTTCAGACTCTGCCCACTCCTTTTACGCTCGGGACTTCACCCATTCCTTACCACATTCACTCAGGAATTTACATATCTACTCCGGGTTTCCTCTGCTCTCCACAGGGTCGCAGAGAGCAGCTGAGGCTTAGCACCATAAGAGTCGGCAGAGACTACTGGTGAAGATGTGAATATTTTAATGTGTCAGAGAAGAAGCCTTCTGCCTAGACAGAAAAAAATAATTTTTTCCCTGAATATAATTATGAAACAAAAAGAACAATAAGAAAGTACATTGATTTTCAATGGAGTTAGACTTTATTAATTAAAAGTAGCAAATGTTGCATAATTTACTTCATTGAGATTATTTGTTTTGTACAAGTGCATTGTTATATCAAGCAAACTTTAGAGAGTACTCCCTGGGTTCACTGCACTTTAGAAATCCCTCTTTACAAGCTTCACCAACACTTTACACACTCAAAAAGCGTAACTTCACGGGCATGGTGGCACACACCTTCAATTCCAGCTCTGTTGAGGCAAAGGCAGGTGGATCTCTGAGTTTAGGGCCAGCACGATCTACAGAGTTTATTCCAGGACAACCAGGGTTACACAGAGAAACCCTGTCTCAGAAAGACAAAAAAAAAAAAAAGAGAGAGAGAGAGAGAGAGAGAGAGAGAGAAAGGGAGGGGGGAGAGAGAGGACAAAAAGGCATAGCTTCACATTACAAAGTAGTTAGGTGATCTTCTATCAAGTGAAAAGTCTTTGAAGAACAGTTTATCTTTTGTTGATTTACAAAATGGCATTTTCTGGGCCATTATTAGACCACCATTTTTTCAATTATTTTTTTCTTCTGCTACAGTAGAAATAAACATGTTAAAATCAAGCAGTTTAGCATCACAGCTGATCAAACATGATATTATGTCCCATGTGCACTTTAGATGATATGTTTATTACACATCTGAGTCTAGAATGCTTGCTTTGGACAATGGATACTGAGAGGTTTGTCTCCTTCACGAGAGACTGTTACAAAAATCAGTGCATCGAATTAACAAACAAAAACGGGACTTTAGGCTTTTAAGAGCGTGCTGGGATAGTTTAATATTGAAAAGACCTTTATGTTTTTGTTTTGTTTTTTTTCTTTCCATAATCCTACTGCACACATCTTTAGATCACAGAATAACCCCATCACTTTATTGATAAGTCACCATTACTTGGCTAGGCATGGTTATTGCTGCTTAGGCTCACTTTGTTCCTTTTGTATTTGTAGACGTGCATCAATTCCATTGCATTTTTCCCAAACATGTGCTTGCTAAATTCCTCCCCCCTAAAAAGAAAAACCGTAATGGGGAGCCACGGATAATAATTATGCGTAATGTTTGTTGAAGATCATGACTGATTGGAGGGATGATGTTTTTGTTGCTGTGATAAGAGCTGATATTATCCTAAGTTAGTTCCACAGGGAAGTATTTGGGGCTGTGAAAAAAATGCATATTTCCAAAGAAACCATATTGCATGCTTGTCTGGCAGACGTTCTCTGGTTCGATGCGTCACTGGCGATTAGCAGGAGCTCTGCATGCAGCTTCCTTAGCCAGCGTGTCGCTCCACCAGGAAAGCCATGGCTACTACAAGATGCTATTCAGCCAGTCTTTGACATGTCTCAGAATCGCCAGCAAAATCCAATGTTTGACGTAAAACCAAACATGCTTTATTTTAAGATACCTGTAGTAATAAAAGATCAGACTTCAAAGAGATGCAAATTTGTATCGAAAGAAAAGAACCATTGCTATTGAGATGTCCTATGTAATTGTTTTATAATTTACAGGTATCCCAGCATAGAAAACAGTTAAAAATGTTTTATATTAATTCTTATTTGAAGTGATTAAATTTCATTAGCTAAATTTTAAAGCAAGGTAAAATGAACCCCTTATACCAATCAATCATTAAAAAAAATTATCAACCATTCTGTATAATATTCCTCAGTAATGTTTACTGGTTGCTTATTGGTTAGCAGTTCTCCAAACCTGGTTCACCTGATTCACCTGAGGAGAGAGAAGCAGGCAGATGACCTTCAGATCTTCGTTCCCCCTCCTCTTCTCCAAATCCAGCCTCCAGTCTTGTATACAGCTCTGCAGCGACCGTCTGCTGTGGCCTCCCTCCCTCTCTCCCCCATCTCCAGTGGACCATATTCATCTTCTCATACAGGTTCTCTCCCCACTCCATCCCTTGTGTCACCCTCCAACTCCCTCGGGCATCCCCTGGGAACCCTTTGGCCTTTGCCAGAGAAGCAGAGACTTTCTTTATTCTACCTCCTCTCCTTCATATCCGATCCCCAAGTCTATTTCCCAGCGCTGTAGCAGCCTACTGGCTGTAGCCTCTCCTCGCTCTCTGCCCCCATTCCCAGGGACTAAGCAGATTCCAGCGGCACACCCTGCTTTTCCTCTTGTGGACTCCCTCAGCCCACTTCCCTCCCATCTCCATTGCAATTGTTCCAGCTTCGAGAGGGAAGGTTTTCCCAATGCAAGTGTTACAGCTCTGAAGGGAGAGATACCCTGGCAGTTGGGTGCAAGCAATCCACGAATTCACACCACACAACAAACCTCATTCAAGAGATTTATTGGCAAAGACATAGGAGGGGTCGCTGCCTCTGCTCAGGAGAGAGACAGCAGGGAACTGAGTGGGAGTCAGGCTTATAGAGGGTTTCTTGGAGGCAGTGTTTTCCAGGGTGGGGATTGGTGAGATTTCAAGTCCTGAACTTGGGGCCTTTGGAAGTCCTTAGGGATGAGCCTGGCTACTCTGCACTTCAAGCAGATTACTTCTATCACTAACTGTCAGCTCCCAATACAAGAAGCCTTCTAATCAGAGCCTCCAGAGGCTCTATCTGGTAGGATCTCAGAAGCATTTCTACCTGGCAACCCACAGCCACCATACTCTCCTTAAGAACTAGAAAGGGCACAAAAACCAAGGAACAAAACAACCACTCAACAAACACAAGACCAGATATTAGTACCTAGAAGTATAATCATTTGGAATCCAGATGCCTATACTCCAGTGTGAAAACACAATCAATTACAGCCAGGACAATATGGCTTCACTACAGCCCAGCAGCCCTACCACAGCACGCCCTGAATACTACAACATATAGCTCAAGCACAAGACAAAGACATTAAGACAGCTTGCATAAACAACAGGAAATCAACAAACACTAGTCACTGATGTCTCTCAGTATCAGTGGTCTCAGTTCCCCAATAAATAAGCATAGCCTAACAGAACGGATGTGAAACAGGATTCATTTTTCTTCCCCATCCAAGAGAAACACACCTTAACAACAAAGATAGACATTGCCTCAGAGTACAGGTTGGAAAAAGATACTCCCAACAAACGAACCCAAGAAGCAAGTTGGCATAGCCATTTTAATGTCTAACAAAATAGACTTCAAAGCAAAGCTAAGCAGAAGATATGGAGGACACTGCATACACATCAAAGAAAAAATTCACTAAGAGAACACTGCAGTTCTTAACATGCGTGCACCAAACACTAGGGGAATCACGATCATAAAAGGAAACTCCACTACAGCTTAAATCACACACTGACCCTCACACAGTGAAAGCAGGAGACAAAATAAGACAGACTCAGAAGGCAATGCATATTTTTTTTCAAATGCAGCATCTAGATTTAAATTCATAGATGTGCATACACATGTGGGAAATGAGGATAGCCTACAGTAATCTGGGAGGAAAGAGGTGGGGAACAGAAGAGGGTAACAGAATATATGTGTCACTAAAGCAGAAAGGGGTTGTGTTCATGGGGCAGAGGGGACACAGCAAGATGGGGAAAGGGATTAGGTGGAAAGGCAGTGAAAAGGTAAGGGCGTGGGTATGAAATATCACAGTTAAGCCCATCTCTTTGTGTGCGCATCACAGAATAAACTTTTAAAACTCAGAAGAAGTTGAAGTTCATGAAATCAAGTGGGTTCCTGAAGCTCATAGAACAGGCTTTCCAACAAGGTACCCTGTCCCCAGATCAATAGTTGCGACGGTTGATTTCATATGTCAACCATTGGACACTGTTGATGGGTCACATTTCTGCTTAGGGGCTTCCTTGAATGTATTTTAAAGCTGAAATTATTACTTGGACAAGGCAGGTATCTCTTTCTAGATGTGTACAGCTGAAAACCTTAAGGACTGGCGTCCTCCAAGGGAGAAGAAAATTTGCCTCTGCATGGCCTTCTACTCTGACCCCAACATGAACTCCCCTCTGTTCTGCACCCCGGTGCAGCTTGACACCCCTACAACTGAATGAACAAATTTCCTGAGAGGCCCTCCCCTCCCCCCGCTCTCTCTACACATAAATATAACTCACATACATCTTATTGCACCTGTCTCTCAAGAGAGCTGTGTGCTGCGCTTGTTACTCAGTGTCTTCCACACCGGCGGCTTCTTACTGTGTTGAGGCTGAGGTGGTGGAACCTTCATGAGGTGCAGTTTTAGAGGAAGGAGGGCCAGTCATTGTGGGCACCGTGCTTGGAAGGGATGTGCTTTGCTCACTATTGCAAGAGCGGGCTGTTGGAGGAGTGTCTGGTCCTGAGTCTCTGGCTTCCTGTCTTGCGTGTGCTCTCTGCTGCGTGACCTCCCACTACTGCCGAAAACCCTCCAGGATGTGTTAACAAGAGTGAACAGCGTGTGGGTCTTCCAGATCTTAGCCTGTCGTCCTAGAAGACCATGAGCCAAGGAGAACTTCTTGTACTCTCATTCCCTACGCACTGATTTTGTTACTGTAACAGGGCCCCAGACTTCAGTAGCCACCCTTCCCCCCAACAAGACCTTAACACAACTGACTCCATGATGGAAGTACCATTCAGGCTGTAGCAACTCAGCAGGTAGACAGTACCACCCGCCAAAATGAAAACAAGGACCTAATCCATTCAGGTCCATAGTTCTGGGAATGTCTGGAAATGTTCTAACCTTGCTTTCTGGCTTCTGTAGTTCTGCTTCTGGCTGTTTTTGTTAACTGAGGCATGTCAACCCAGGACATGGTGTTTTTGTGCTTTAAAGCTCACCTGAAAAAGGCTCAGTGCTACACTGAAATCCTAAACACCCAGTGTAAGATTTTCTCTTGACTTAAACCCAGGCCCAGCAGTCTTCCCCAGAATACGTATAGTAATTGAAGGGCTACACAAAAAGGAAAACCTGATACAGCTGCTGTCTGCTGGTCAATAGTCATGTGGCTGTGGCAATTCAATTGATTTCTTCATTGGGGCTAGTGTTTCTTAACTTTAGTGCTGGGTCCTTGCTGGGGAGGCTGCAGCTTTCTTGTGAATTGCAGGCTGGTCAGTGGCACTGCTGACCACTAGGTGCCAGTAGTGGCACCCAGATGTGAAAACCAAAGGCTCTCCATCCAGACAGTTCAAAACATCTGACGGCGCTGAGCCTGATGGCCAACTGTTGGGCAGTGTGCATGGAATCTTATGAAAGAAGTGGGAAATAGTAAGAGCTGGAGAGGACAGGAGCTCCACAAGGAGAGCAACAGAACCAGAAAATTTGAACACAGGGGTCTTCCCAGAGACTCATACCCCAACCAAGTACCATGCATGGAGATAACCTAGAACCCCTGCACAGATGTAGCCCATGGCAGTTTAGTGTCCAAGTGGGTTCCATAGTAATGGGAAGAGGGACTGCCTCTGACATAATCTGATTGGCCTGCTCTTTGATCACCTCCCGCTGAGGGGGGAGCAGCCTTACCAGGCCACAGAAGATGACAATGCAGCCACTCCTGATGAGATCTGATAGACTAAGATCAAAAGGAAGGAGAGGGGTATCAGTGGACTTGGGGAGGGGCATTCGTGAAGAAGGGGGAGGGAGGGAGGGACTGGGAGGGGAGGAGGGAGGGGCTTATGGGAAGATACAAAATGAATAAAGTGTAATTAATAAAATAAAAATAAAAAAATAATTAATTAAAAAATATGATGGGAGCAAGAGGGCAAAATAACCTTTGACCCTTTGTTTAAACAGCATTGTACGAAAGCATCTGTGTTATAACATAAGCATAAGAAATATTCTGTTAGAGACAGCTTTGAGAATTTTGGGAGCATGCTCTTCTGTCTTTAGCTCAGTACAGGGGAGATACCCTACACTTCTGTAACCCTTATAAATAAAACTTTCTTTAGGTCTTGTAAGAAACAAACGAGAACTAGGAAAAGGCCATGAAGACTGGTGTCTGGGAGCTCTTAGCAGGCAGCTAGAGGGCAGGCATGGGATGAGAACAAAGGGTCTTTTCAAAGAGGAAGGCAGGGTTTAGCTCTTCTCTCAAAGAAAAGAAACCTGGTTAGAAAGGAGCTGCCCTTTCAAAACACGTCAGCCAATGACAGCCCAGCTCTGCAGTCATTTTCCTGAAGAATACTGGGTGTTGGTGTGTGAGGCAAGGCAGGGCTAGGGTTTGCCTAAGTAAATATAGCCACCACTAAGCTTCTGTTGAATTTTCTGTTGAGAGAAAATTACAGAGCCGTTCCAGTAGATGGTGCTGTGGCTAAGTCAACAGGAACATAAAAAAAAAAAAAGAAAAAGAAAGAAAGAAAAGAAAGAAAGAAAGAAAGAAAGAAAGAAAGAAAGAAAGAAAGAAA